AAAAAAAATGCTTGGACCATGAATAAAAATGTTTAGAGTATGCTACTAAGGTCAATTTATAGATAACATTTGTCATTTTTCAAGATCAAATGTAAGGAAGTTGAATGAACTGAATATTTGCATTGAGACTAAATATGATTTATTGTGATAAGTTGAATATCTGGGTATATATATGAGATTGACTCTAGTTTAATTCACTACAAAAACAATTGTTATATTCCAACGAAAAATCATATGGTAATATAAACTTAATGTTTATATCATAAGAATGAGATGCTTTAAACAGGTTAAACAATTTTCATTAGACAAACCTAATATTTACACAATCATAAATTCTTTAATAAATACCCATAATACAATATTGGGATATAATTGTATTCTAATAAACAATATAAATAATAAATAATTTCTTTACCATTTAATTAAGTCTGTATTTTTATTTGAAACAATATTATGTGGAGAATATCATGATTATCGAGTAAATTATGGGCAATGGAACAAATAGAGTGGATGGTACGTTTTTAGGTGACAATTATCATAATTCACAAGTATAAGCAAAGTTTTTAATCAGTTTAGTGGAAATGACAATGACTTGAAAAAGAAAATGAAATTATATTTAAATAATTTGTCAATGTTTGGATATTTTATTTTCAGAATAACAAATTAATTATCAAGTGTATTTGATAATCTAATAAAAATAATTAAAATTCCTATTCTTAATTTTAAGATTCTTGTGTCAAAATTATCATGATAGATACGAATACACTTTATTAAGTTAATATATACACATATTATTACACATATTATCCCTCAACACATGCACACGATCCATTGATAATATAAGATAAATATAATTCCCAAGCCATGCTACAATAGATTAGCAATTGAGGAAGATATTTATGTATATGTATATCATTCAATAACAATACTCAATTAATTGACAAATTGAGCTCGATTCACTAATAAAACTCAGTTTTTGGCTCGTCAATTTTGATAAGTTAAAGTCAAGCTTGTTTATCGATTCAATTAATTGACAAATTGAGCTCGGCTCAACTCAACACAATAAATGCTCGATATCAACAGCTCGAGCACGTCACCTAACCGAACCAAACGAGTTTGAACTTAATTTGAGGTCAAGAGTTTGAATCTTGTAATTGTGGTAAAATATTTTTACTTTCTCCTCCATCATATTCCCATTCATAATTTCACTCCCCTTTTTTTCTCAATCTTGTCTCCTTAAAACTTTCTTTCTGTATCTGTCTATACATACATCTTTCTGTATATATACATCATCCACACCATTTTTCTGGTATATACTGTCTGAAAACAAAATGTACAGAATTTCTGCTATAAATCTCAAAATCCCCAAAAGGTGAAAATAGTGAAAAATAAATATAGAGATTAAAAAAAAATCAAATCTTTTCACATCCCATTACACATATTGCAGCAATTACTTATTACGAAGATACTACGGTCCCGTGACGGAACCATTCCGTCGGGATTTGTAACCATTAGATCAACTATCTTTGACGGTTACATGATGATCTAATGGTTACAACTTTAAACGAGATGGTTCCGTTACGGGACCGTAGCATTCTCTTTATTCATTACCCTCTTACCTTTTTTTTCTTCCATCTTCTACAATAAATATTTTTCTCTCTTTCTATGTCTACTTTTGTTCCTATGCCAGCTCTGCATGCTCCTCTCTCATCCCAATAATAAACATTTTTCTCTTTTTTTTTTCCCCTATATTTTCGCTCTGAAGAAATTCCCCTTTTTTTTTATCAAGATTTTTCGAGAAAGAGAGAATCGAAGAGATCCCTTTTGTTGATTGGGTTAGTAGGCGACGATTGCCCTTTTTGGATAACTTTTTCCTGTGTTTTGATTTGGTGTCCCTTGATTGCATTTGTTCTGTTTCTGTTGTGACTTGCGTGGTTTTTGTATATTTTTCCGTGTTGATCTGAGGTGCTATTGGCTATTTGGGAGGTTTTATCTGTTAAATTTTGTTGGGATCGTTGATTAGTTAATGTAATTTGGGGAAAGAGGAGTTAATTATCTGCAATGATTTCATTAATGCCTGAATAATCAGCTATTGATCTATTGGTTACTTGAAATTAGACCTTTTTCTCGTCTTTTGGAGTTAAATTGTATGATAGTTTCGGTTTTCTGTTCGAGCTTTAAAGATTTTTTATGATCTTTTGTAGGTTTATGTATATCTAGATACTAGAAAATTGTAGGAGCTGAACTGTTTTTGGAGGATTTTGTATAAAGTTTCAAACTTTGGCTCCTGAAGATTGATATTGATAATGAGCTTAGTTTCTTAGAACTTAGCTCTAGAAAGTTTGGTAATGCTTTGTTTAGTTGGGAAAGTCATGTTATTGGTTGTTTGATGACAACGACATCGTCTGTGTTTGCTCTGCATGTGATAAGCTTTCATATGAGGGTAGGTGTGAAAAACACCTGCAAGATTATGTTTTTCTAGTTCCGGGAGATGTCAAATCATTCTACGAAGACTGTAAAATCAGAAGTCTTGGGTTGATGATGCAGATTGAGAACTATTAAAAATAAGGCGTGTAGAACAATGTGTGCAGATAAAAGCTAGATTTGGCTTCTTTTGAGTATAGATGGCTTGCACATGCACACACCAAGAAAAATAAAAGAAAAAAATAGAATCTTGATTGTATTTTTGTATGTTGGAATGACATGCGGAGATACTAATGCCTGCCACATTGATTTGGCCTCTCTCTCTGTCCTATAATAAGAAATTATGAAAAAATGTTGAGTCAATACTTAACATGCATACTAGCAGGCGTAGCTTTCCTGCGCGAGATCACAGATGAAGTATGTCGCAAATGTTAATCTAAGGGAATTAGGCCAGATGATGATTTGTTCCATTTTCTCTTTATTTTTGTAAGTGGGGAGACTTGTTGCATTTGCAAAACCCTTTAAAGTTCGGTTGTAGGCCGTGTTTGGTAAGCATATAAGTTAGCTTATAGCTTATTTGATTAGATTATAAGCTTCTTGTATTTAAATAAGCTTGGTTTGGTAGGAAGAGCTTTTTGCTTATCTCATAAGCTTCCTTCGTTGGGTAGCCCATTGAAATTCTTATTTCAGCTAAATTATTGGCTAATTTATTACACTTTTATCATATAAGCTAGCTTTTCAGCCATAAGTCATAAGCTATCGGCTATAAGCTCAAAATTTACTTAAAAGCTATAAGCTAGCTGATAAGCTAGGTCAAACATAGCCTTAGTCTTGTAGAAAGACTTACAGTTAGTGGCATAAAGTACGGAACTGTTATTCTCCTAATTAGAAGCATGTTATTATGAAACTGTTAGTTGCGTTTTATTTTTATGTTCCTGGAGTTTATTTAGTTATTGAAGTATTATATCAAAGAAATTAATTTACTGGTTGTCAATGCTGCTGCAGTGATCCAGCCATATTGTCATATAATTGTAGTTGAATTGATGCAGAATAAGTTGTTCCAGGTTTTGATATATAAGCACGTGGGCGTTATTCCGTACGGTCCACGTGCAATTTTCATATTCTATTTTTCTTCGCTGCATGGATTTAGTGATTGCTGTTGTTCTAACATAAGAATTCAGATTATTGATTGTCACTTCTTTTCATAATTTTTACTCACATTTTTTATTTACTGGTTTACTTCAGCAAATTGGTTCACATTGTCAATAGAAGCTTGAAAATCTATAAGGGTATCATACGATGTCTACCTCAGCAAAAGCTCTCGAACCTGCTTTTCAGGGAGCGGGTCAGAAAGTGTATCCTCGTGAAACTATTCTTGAATGGCTAACCAATTGGCTATTATTTTTTCATGTTTTATCATGAATTTATATGTTCAGTTGATGACTTTTATTCTTTGTTTTTTTTTTTATTCATGTCCAACTTGTGTTGTTTTTCAGTTAAAACACGTTTTTGTCTTTGTTAACTTAACACCTTACAGAGGGACCGAGATTTGGAGGATTGAGAACTTCCAACCTGTTCCTCTGCCAAAATCTGATTATGGTAAATTCTACTCTGGAGATTCTTATATTATTCTTCAGGTGTGCTTCTTTTTTCCCTCTATCTTCTTGATGTTTACTATTATTATGTTGAGATATTTTTCAAACTCACTTTTTTAAATGCTTACCTATCCAGACTAGTCCTGGCAAGGGAGGTGCTTATCTTTACGACATTCACTTCTGGCTTGGGAAGGATACAAGCCAGGTATCGATGATCATGTTAATATTCTTTCTACTCAGATTTTTTCTTTTTTTTTT